ATTTAGTACTCAGCAACGATTCGCGGAAACGTTTACGCTAGAGCTTATGGATTATATTAGTAATTTGCGCAAGTATCGATGGCCTTCTAATCTTACCCTCTGCTTGCGCTTTCCCATGCTGTGGACTCGGTTACGAAATTTGTTTAAATAGCACTTCAGCACTGTGTTGACAAGCGAAGGTGCGGCACTGAGGCACTGGAGGCCAGTCTTAGAGAAGGCGACGACCTCAAAGGGAGTAACCAGTGTACGATGAGGGAAACACTAGTCCCGCTGCGTGTCAAGATCTTGTTGCGGTTGCACGACAAACGAAGTGCCTGTGCGTATTTGCCAACGTCTAAAGAAGATAACCGCTGGCCAAATTTCCAACACCGTCGATCAACAACTTAATCCGGTTTATCCTCTTCAGTGGCAACATGAAAGGCGCCGCTGGTATCAAGAATTGTGAGATGGGGCCTGAGTGAAACAGAGCAGGCGTTTAAATCAGCGTTTCAGTCGTCGTTCTCGTTTCGTTTTAATCTAACCACCCGTTAATCTCTACACATTTTAACGTACGCATTAAAAACAAAAACAGAAATGACACTTAGTCTCTAGAAACAAGGTTTCAGCTCGGCTTCATGGCCTATCGCTGATGTCGCCCTTGCAGCATGGTTCAGTCTAAAGCATGAAGACGCGGCGATCATGCACTTCAGCAGCTTGTATTGGTGTCACTGAACCACGGACCGGCTGTCCACTGGGAACCAAACTGAACATGAGCGATTCTACGCTTTGAACATTTGGCACCATCGAAACACATTTGAAAATATAGCTACGACTTCGCAGCTGACGACAGTCTATGCTTTACTGCTACAGCGGCACTGGCGCTATCCGTCTCCAGCCGGCAGCTGACCAAATCAAAATGTCCTTCACATTTCACCTGGTCATATGTTGCAGGAACGCATTTGGATTCATTGATGCTGCAGGATCAGGCGCCACGATAACATCATCAGTGATTCTTTCAACACTAATGTAGTTGTTGAACCTGAGATGCAGCAGCAACTTTTGCTGGAGACAGTGAAATGCGGTTGACAGCGGCTGCCGAAGCGGACGATGCTGACAGTTTTGTATCTGCAAAAAGGAACACAGTTTGTACTACAAACAACGAAACGTGATTAAGGCTCGTGTGAAATACGAAGCGTGTCATACGTGTTTCCGATATGTCTTTTTACCGCCACAGTCACTACGGTGCGATCTAATCTAATTTTGTCTGATTGCAGTTTCTTTTGCTTGTCGAACGTCGCTGCGTGAATTTTAGTATGCAAAGGAATAGGAAGGTAATAGAGAAACAGTGCTAGTGCTTATGGTGACCTGCTGTAGTACTGATGCATGCAGGCCAGAAACTTAACGTGATACAGTTGCGTCGCTGAACCACTACAGTACACCAGGCCGTGCTAATACGCTGAAAGCGGTTAGTGAAATTCATCATTAGCCAACTACGAACAGCGCACACGGCTGTGTAGCCGCCACCGCGAACAACAATCAAAGATTTATTAACGGCGTTGTTACATGCACATTGCTGACAACAAACACGATGCGGAGTGGCAAAACTTTGAACGCGTTCGAACAACGGGTTAACACTGAACGAACGCAGAAGCAAGTGCGCGCGTATCTGCACATCGGCTGGCTCAGAGGTATGCACGGTTACACCCAACGTCAGCGCGTGAGCAACTAAGCGCACGTGTCACCGAACACAGCCGCATATTTGTCCCCCTTAAGCAACGCAGTTCATATTCCAGTTTGCGATGTCGTGTGTCAGCGACGGTTGCCTAGTGGTGTAGCAAAATTGGAACGCAGGGCTGATTAATGTGATAGTTAGCAAACGGTCAGTTCCTGAACATCTGGCCGGTTTCGGGTGTCACCGGCTCAAGTACGATATAATTAAAAAATGCTAATCAATCATGGGCGCTCGCATTTAGCCGCTAGCAGCCTCCGCTGACGACGGTTATCGTCCAGAGTGACCGGTGAATACCGCCGTGGTCGAAAACATTTGTAGTTGTATACAGTAGTCCCACTGGAAAGCAGGCAGGCATTTCTCTAGGTTGTGAACCAATCAGCAACAAGAGGCGGAGCGAACAAGACTCATCGCTTGACGCGAGAAAGGCAAGGAAAAACGTTCAGCACAACAGAAACAGGAGTGAAAAACAACGAGAGCTGCGACAATAGCCAGGATCCAAGCTATCGCCGGCAAAACGCAGCAGACATCGCCGTGTTTGCAGTCGCGCGTCGAACTGGAAGCTGCAGCCGATGCAAGCATGTTTACCTAATTGAGATATCGAAATTGAAAATGACAGGGCGGCTTGACACGATCTGATGACATTGTCGGGTTGTCAACAAATGTGAACTGACTTCATACAGGCATGTACACTTGCCATTGTCGAAGAAACGCGCGACTCGCCTCGTGCACACACTCAAAATGAGGTAAAAAATAGGACAAATCCGTACGAGACGAAAATAATGCACTTACCAGCAGAAGACATTATCGCGCTCCCCCCGGCGGCGATCCCTGCGTTGCAACGGTAGATGTCTGGTGACGCGGACGAGGTGGCTAATGAAGATGAACATACGAACTCGGGCCGAAAGCACGGCATGGCGGCGGCCATCGAGGGAAAAGAACCACCCGTCGTAATAAAGCTGGGCACAGCTGAGAACACCGGGAAGCGGGAGTATACTCCTGCAGCAACATTGGCGGTAACTGCCAGTTGGTGCCATGGCGACATAGAATAACGAGACCGACCGTCCATAAATGATGCTACAGCAGAAGCAGTCGGTGTCCCAGCTGGATTTGGCAACTGACGTTGCTGGCTACAGGAGTCCAACGATGAAGACGATGATGATTTAACCGTGTCCTCTACAATCGACCAGATCTTTGGCTTCTTTGGCGTGGAATGATCCAAAGGACAGGATGTAGCCACTCGTTTCACACCTTTAACAACGATAGTTGCTGAACTGCGATCATTGCCCGTCCATCCATCGCATTC